TATATATATATATACATATGCAAGCCCTGTGTATAACAGCAAATTTGAGAACAAAGCCCTGGACCCAACAACAAAACCCCAGCAACCCTGGGCCCTAAACACCGTAAACCCTAAACACCGTAAACCCTAAACATCAAGCACTCTACACCCCAAAACGCACTAAACCCTAAACACACTACACCCTAAACACCCTACACCCTAAACCACCTCACACCCTAAACCGTGAATAAACGCAAGGAATGAAATCACCGCAGCCGGCGGTCCGGGCTCGTCGCCACGGCTCTGTGGGCTTTCGGGCTGAACCTGCTTAAAGGAGTGTAGGTACATAATATATAGAGGTTAGGATGCAGAATTCAGGGTTTAGGGTTGAGGGGTTAGGATGTAGGATTTGGGGTTTAGGGTTCTAGGTTTAGGGGTTGCTCTGGATGGCGTTGCAGCAAAGATGGTCATGCCACAGAGTCGCTTCGAGTGCGTCGTGCTGTGCGACATGTTGCTATAGCTGGATTGTAGCTGGCGGCCAAGCCACCCAAACCTATTCCAACTAAGGTTTAGACCCAAACTCAGTTAGGTCCATCTTGGTCATTTAACATATTCACCGCCGGCACCTTCCTGCTTCTAGAACGCAAGACTTTGGGACAGCCCAAAAGCTCTTGAGGCTGACTGCACTTAGGAGGACTTCTGGCTTCTGGGATCCTTTTTCTGGGATCCTGCAGACGGAGGCGGCGCGGAGGTGGCTGGAGACAGCCTTTGGGTGTTTTGGAATTCGATGTTGCCCCCACCTTCCAGACTCTCAGGCCCCTGGTCCCGAAATTCGCACGCAGAAGCACCTGCAAATCTAGGACCCACCTGAAATGGCTTTGGAAAAATCAGCCAGTGCCGGTGCTCGTCCCAGTACTGGGCCGGGCCTGTGGAGCAGAAGACCGTCTGGGTCGGCTTGCTGCCACGAAGAGGACGAGGGGCATAAGCGCGCCCACCATCAGAGGTGGGCGGCGTAAGCCTTGAGCTTAGGTTTAGGGATTTTGTTTAGGCTGGGGGTTTGATCTCAAGCTCTTTTGGAAATTATTGGAGGTTCCTGCATGTATATAAAGGCAAATATGGGTGAAATTGCATGGCGGATTCAGGATTTTAACGTTTAGGGGTTTAGGCTGCCGTCTTTGGGGCTTCCATCATAAAGATTTCAGTATGGGCAGAAATCGCAAATTTGTGGGGGGAGGATACCGGCTGTCCACCTAGCCGCAGACATGGGACTAATGACGGTAAAAAAATCTGTAAGACCAAAAAAATAATTGATTGTTGCTGGCAAGAGGTTCCAAGCCATAAGTCCTAGCAATGCGTTTGGGTCTATTATATTAGCCATCAGACATCATGGACATGAATTCTAAAGTGTCGCTTGGTTAGCAACGGGCAATTCTGCTGGCCCAGGCACAACTATTCTCTCTCTAAGCGGCCGCCAACGGCAAATCCAGATATACCGCCAGAGGAGGCACAGTTTGCGCGGTTTCCTGGAGTTTGCAATGCCTGTGTTACCTGCAGTTTAGTAGCTTTGCCATGAACTGATCATTATTTAACCTCCTAATTGCTCCTAAGAGCCACAGGTTGAAATTAGGGTTTTTGCTTGGCTGGGATACCAAAAGTCCCAAACCCTTACACATAGCGGCGAACCCTGACCGGTAAACCTCATCGGGACCCCAAAAAATTCAGGGTTCCTTTTTTGTGAGTGCTTCTCAAGGGACTGTGTGTGTGGGGACACATGAGACAGACGACAAACATATTCGTGTGCCCCATTGTCAGAACAGAACACAGCCGAACACATCAAGCAATGGGTTTTCGACCCTTCACATCAACTCGATCACGCAAGCAAGCGCCAAAATTGTGATGGATGGGATATCCCGCCCTATCTAACGCAAATGCGATGCGACTATCAGCTCCGTTGCAGGGCTTTCTTTCCCATGTAAGGTTTGGGGGTTCAGCTTCTCTAAGGCTTGGGGATAAATGAGAATCACTTCAGAGCCTACAACAAGATACCGATGCTTGATTTCTCTCTTTTTTCTAGGGCCGACAATAGGCCCCTTTTTTCCTTTTGGGGGTCCCAGGCTCCTTTTATGACAGCCCGGTTATACCAAGAAAGGTGGCTCCTTTTTATTTCAGAGTTGCTGAGGATTTTAGTGTTTGACTGCACCCGACAAGCGTTGCAGATTCAGCAATACCCTCCAGTAGTCATGGGTTTTGGGATTAGGGTTGAGGGATAATGCCTGCATTGCCGAGATCTTGTCTCGGGACAACACGGTATTTGCTATGAATTAGTTGCTACATATTCAGGGCTTTGGAGGAGGGTATGGGCAGATGGTAAGCCAAAGCCCAAACCCAGACCCCCAAAGGGATGTGGAAATGAGATCCCTTAGAATAATGTGGGGAATTATACGGGGATTATGTGGGGTTGTCATGGCTTGTATAAGGGACCCAGGGACCTGAGGAAGAGTTCAAGAAGGGGGAATACCACCACAGGCATCAGCCTTACGG